TTCTTGATTGTGGGGATACTTCTCCCCAGACCTCTAGGATATGGTCTGCATTTAAGTATTTTTTTAGATTTTTTTTTATGTGCATTGGTGTTTTGCCTGCATGTATGTCTATGTGAGGGTGCCAGATCCCCTGGAACTGGAGTTATGGAAAGTTGCAAGCTGCCATGTGGGTGCTGGGAATTAAACCTGGGTCCTCTGGAAGAACAGCCAGTGCTCTTAACCACCAAGCCATCTCTCCAGCCCTGCATTTAAGTCTTTAACTGTAGTGATAGTAACCCATTATTTCAAATGCCCAGTCTTGGTAATGTTAAAGGGCAGGTAGATGTAACACTAGACATTCTCAGCCTAGTGATACACATTGGCATTCTTGACTGCTGGTTTTCCAAGGTGTCTGTGTGTAATACTGAGTTGGGTGAGACCAACACTATGTGTTTACATGGTGATGCTTGTAAGAGGGCCATGGCAGTGTACAGATGAGAGGATATTTGCTTGCCCCTCCAACAGATATAAACCCTATGATGTCTCCTTGCCAGTCCCATAGGGAACAGGTAGATTGTAAATTGGTCCCATCATAGCATATATTTGCCAAGGGTCTAACTGGAAGAAGACCTCGAGTGTTGACACAGCATGCAGAACATTTTAGGAACTGTTGTTTCTCCAGCCTTTGCTGGTTCTCTGGTCAACAGACTTTAAACGAACCCAGTGAGGAATTTCTTGTGGTACCGGAGGTTGACACCCAGAGTTTTGTATTTTGTTAAAGACATTTGATCCCTAGTTTCTTAGTATGGGGACAACCCCATAAACCTGTGGTTTGACAATCCTGTTGAGAAACCAACAGCAAAGAACACCCAACTGCCCCAAGTACTCTGGCTCAGCTTGGTCCTCAATGTGAGACAGTCTACCTCATCTGTCTATCTATTTGCCTGTACTGCCTCCATAGTCTTAGGTCTTACCACTTCCTCAGCTCCACTACACCCTGCAGCTCAGCTGAACCCTCACTCTGGGACCTGGCTCTATCAAGGCCTCTTGCAGCAGCTCCCCAACAGGACTTGATTCTCACACACTAGGGATTCTGCATCTCTGTCGGCTTCTTGCCTTTACCTCCACTAAGGCCTCTTTGAATTCTGAAGTAGCCTCTTTAATCCTGTTACAGGCAATCTGAAACCTACCCTATAGATAGATGATAAACTGATAGATGATTACAGTTCCAGATATAACAACTGTGTGCCATTTGAGGGATGATTATAGTAGTTAAACTGGGAATAAAAGAAGCTATGCTTGTTGCAGTCACTATCAAGGCAAATCAGGACCCCTTGACAAATAACAGTCAAAGAAACCACTGTGGCTTGTGAACTTGTTATTCAATAAATTCTAACACTGTGAAAAGATATATAAGTATGTTCACCTGTGTTTCTGACATTGTGTACTCATGACAAATACCCACTCTTGGGTCACTTGCTCCTCTTGCTGAAAGGGACAGAACCAGGAACTTGATTCCTCTAGGCTCCCTGGAGCTGCCTTGTCTCCCACGACAGAAGGTACTCATGTAAAGCCTTTGGGTGGGGTGGGAGGGATTAGATGAGGGTGGGTGTTGCTGTCCTTAAGACAGGAAATTCTGAGGAAGGAAATTCACCACCACTGCCCTTCCAAGGACCCTGTGGTTTGTGGAACCAATGGCAGAGGGACAAGCCAGTGCAGGGACAATCCATTGCCACTAGAGAGGTCTAAAGCTACCCAAATTCTCTGTATCCTAGGTTTCCATGTGAATGGCCACTATCAGGACTTCTCCAGAACACAGCTACATCTCAGTTCTATATCAATGAAGATGGAACCTCCTCAGGCTGACCTGACCCTTGGCACTAAATACTCCAGCCCACCAGACAAAGGGGGCATGTGCATAGATGGCTCAAAGGCAGTGGGCAGACACCAGGTCCTTCTCAGCAGCAAACACCATATTGTCTTCTTAGAGAAAAGTTGGACCATGTGAGCAATCCCAGGCCATGGTCTTAGCAGTCATGATCCATCAACAAGAGTATAATTCTCCAGAGGGCAGTCACTCCAAAAGGAAACTGTTTTACAAATGAACCAGTGGGAAGGAAGTGGGAAACCAGTGGGGATGAGTGGGGAAGCCTGCCTGAGAACCAGATGAATAAGGCCTGTGTCTACACTACAGTCCACCCACATCCAACTCAATCCACTTCATTAGAAATAGGTAAGAGACTTATCATGGGAGTCGGGAGTGGGGGACAGATGCAGATGGCAAGAGGCATGCAGAGGACTAGGCCTCTGGGAAATGCAAACAAGGAGATGCTTACCTCTCTGCTCCAAATGCTGGTGAGGCAGGAAACCCCGTGCTGCTGGTAGGAATGAATGAGAAACGGTACAGGCTCTCTGGGAAGCAGCCTGGCTGATCCTTACAAAGGAAACATGCAGTAGTTTAGGACCTAGCCACTGCATTTCTGAATATGGTCCCAGGGAAAGAACCAGAACAGGGGTCTTCACCGCAATTTCATGTACACTCTACATGGGGCAAAAGATTCAACAAGCTGTGGTGCACAAAGAGCGGAAGCAGCTCAGTCAGGAGGTTGAATGAACCACCTTTTGATACACAGCCACCCTTACAAATCTACATAGCCACCCCCGTGTGATAGATAATAGGCAAGCTCTGCAAGCTGCACACTGAACAATTACATTTGTCTAGCATGTTGACAATTGAGTCTAAAGAGGGTAGGGGGAGACGACAGATCAGTGGTTTGCTTGAGGTCTGAGATACCAGCGTTTATAGCATAGAAGGCCCTAATGTAGTATGCTAGTCACACAAAATGGCGTCCCCAGGGAGACTCAGCCAAGCACACAGCAGTTCACGATTTGAATTGCAATGATCTCCAAGTGCGGTGGGGCACACATAATCCTAGGACTCGAAAACGGCTGAGGCAGAAGATTTCTAGTTTGAAGCCAACCTGGACAAAATACAGTGAGGGAGAATGTATCCAGAAAGTCAGAACAACACAAGGGACCAGATTTAAGAATCTGGAGAGAAAGGATAGGAGCCAGTGACCAGGGACCCAGCAGGGAAGGCCTGGGCCAGACTTTGACTGGGGAATCAGTCAGGTCCAGGGCGTCCACATGCCAGGCACACCAGGGATCCGCCTTCCCATGGGCAGAACAAGTGACAAGCCCGAAGACCAAGAAGCGACTGTAAGGCGGTTTGGAGCCCTGAGAAGAGGAGGTGTCTCTGTGCCCGTAAACGCCGCTAGGAGAAAAGCGCCGCCCGCTGTTCTTAAGTCTGCATTGCCACAGAAATCTCCTTTAGCAAGGCCGCAGCCGCAGCACCACAAAGAGATGGGGCCGAGTCTCCTAGAGAGGCCCCGAAACGCCAGAAAGAGGTGGGCGGGTCTACGAATCCGAGCCCTGGCGATGGCTCCTAGAGTGGCGCCAGAAGGGCGAGAATGAGAAGGGTGGGGGTACAGAGCCTAAGGTGGTACCACCGAGAGGCCAGCAAGGGCTCCTAGAGAGGCCCTGGAGGCGGCTAAGAACGGTGGGTGGGGCTTCGGGGCGCGTGGCCGCACCACCGAGAGGCCCGGAAGGTAGAGCGGCACTAGTGGGGCGGGCGCCTTAAGGCGCGGGAGAGGCGGGAGTAGAGGGCATTGTAACCATCGCCCGCCCGGCCGCTCGCCGGCCCTCGCAGACGTCTGCGTTCGACACCTGCATGCGCGCTCCTTGTCGGCCTGGCGAAGGTCAGCTTCTGGGTCGTTTCTCCGTAGGCCGCCAGCCACTCGGCGGTGTTGGGGAGGTCCCCGAGGCGGGGAAGGTAGGGCGGGCTTCCTAGCGAAGTCCCATGGTGCTGGGTGGCTAGAGCTCCGAGTCCTGCCAGGTTCAGCAGCACTTTGATGGACTTGCTGAATTAACTAAGTTGCCTGAATCACCCGCACCCACTCTTAAGCACGGGTCTTGGGGGGGAAGGGGCAAATAAGACAGTCGTTGTGGTCTTCTCTGCTTTTAATGACTGTTTTCAGTTTCCAAAGAAAATGAGCCTTGGTGAGCAAACTCAAGACACCTGGGTCCCGCTTATTATTCCTTTCACCAGAGTGATGTTGTTTGAATTGGTACTGAGCTTGGATTCTGTCAGACAGGGATTCTCAGATGTCTCCTTCTGAGCTGTACCACAAAAGACAAACACTTTCAGAGACTAATGTTCAGACAGTGTAGGCAATTGCCTAGCTGATAGTTACCTGGAACTTGGACTCCGAATCCAGATAAGAACCGTATGTGCTGGGTTAGATAAGTAGTCATCTGTCTAATGCTTAGAATAAAATACAGAGTACTCCAAAATGGCAGCTGTGTTTTTTAACAGACATGAGAACTCTAGATGGGACTGCCAGCATAGCCCACCCCTTCAGGCCTCCAGGGATAAAAGGGATGGTGCAGGTTTAGAAATAAATAGAGCTCACATAGAGAAAGGCTTGTGGGCACAGGGAGCAGCCTTTGGAGATGTGATGGGGTATGGTGGTTGCTGTAGATTATGAGGACAGCCCTGAGTTTCCCAGGCTCAGAACCAGGCTGCTGCAGGGTACATGCACAGCCCCAATGTGGGCATGTGGAGAGGATAAAGAAGGGCAGGAAAGGTTCCATTTGGGGAGGTAAGAAGTGGCCATTGGTCTGTGTGGATATGGAGTTCTGTGAGATGAATGAAAGTCTTATCCTCAGTGACTGAGTGAAGTGAGCATGCTATGGACCTGTGAAGTGGGCTGAAGTTCTGAGAAGTTCACATTAGTCTGAGATGTTCATCAAATGAGCATTTGGGAGGAGAGTGGAGGGTTGCAGACCTGAGAGCTGCCTTTGACCTGTTGTTAATGTTTTTGCCTCCAGAAGTAAAAGGATGGTGTTTCTGTCTGCCTGACGCCAAAATGGAGCTCCATTAGCAGGATGTCCTGAGCTGTCCTGACAGAGTAAAGTCACAACCAAGAAACCTGCAGCCACTGGCTGGGAGCCTTCAGTGTTTCCAAGGAGCAACAATGGAAAAGCCTGCAGGCAGGAAAAAGAAGACACAGGCCCCAAAGGAGGAAGCAGGTGTGCAAAAGGCTACTGTCAAAGGAGAGAAAGCAGCAAGGGTGAAAAAGCCGACCAAGAGGTCAGCAAGGCCCCGGAAGCCCCGCAAACAAACTGACCTGAGCCCTGAAGACGAGGCTCATATCTTTGATGCCTTTGATGCCTCGTTTAAAGATGACTTTGAAGGTGTTCCTGTGTTTGTTCCTTTTCAGAGGAAGAAACCCTATGAGTGTAGTGAATGTGGACGAATCTTTAAACACAAAACAGATCACATTCGCCACCAGAGAGTTCATACTGGAGAGAAGCCTTTTAAGTGTGACCAGTGTGGGAAGACCTTCAGGCACAGTTCAGATGTCACCAAACATCTGAGAATTCATACCGGTGAGAAGCCCTTTAAATGTGGGGAGTGCGGGAAGGCCTTCAACTGTGGCTCCAATCTTCTGAAACACCAGAAAATGCATACTGGAGAGAAGCCATATGGCTGTGAGGAGTGTGGGAAATCCTTTGCCTACAGCTCCTGCCTCATCCGGCATCGGAAGCGTCATCCAAGGAAGAAGCACTGAGTAGGGCAGCCTACGACTATGGATCTTTGTCAAACATCAGATATTGGTCTAGATTTCCTATGCAGTGTGCTACTGATGGCTCATTTGACTCAGTCATCAAAAGGAAAATCCACCCATCAGACATGAGAACCCACAGAGGCTTTGTGCTCTGTGAGTTTACACTTGGTGGTAACATGGTGCTCCTTGCACCTCCATCCATTTTCTAGACTACTTCATTCTACTCAGGGCCATCTTTGGAACAGCTTTGGGTCATGAAGAATTTACAGCTAAAAAGACACCCCTGATTGTGGTGATATAGTATGTATAATTAAAGTTTGCCTGGGAATTCAGAAAGCAAAGCTAGCCTCAAGCAATGGTGGTACACACCTTTAATCCCAGGACTCAGGATTTAAGAGGTAGATGGGTCTCTGAGTCCAAGACCACCCTGGGCTACTGGAGAGTGAATCAGCTTCAGGCCTTTAATCCCAGGATTTTAGAAGTATAAAAGGTAGGGATATTCAGTCTAAGAGTTAGTCTATAGCCACATTGAGGAGAGCATAGCAGTCTGAGTGAATCTGAGGAGCAGTGAAGTTGGGAGCAGTCTGAGTCACCCCTTTGGTCTGAGCCGAGGTAGAGGTAAGAGCTTGTGGCCAGCTGCTTTGCTTTTTTGATCTTCAGCTTGAAGCTTGAACCCCAGTATCTATCTGTGGGTCACTTATCATTCGTGTTACCCTTACTGGTGAGGGTCACTGCCTTCCTCTGCTGCCTCTGCCTGCACCATCCACTATGCATCTGTCAGTTCTTTTGAAAGCTTCTGGCTCTGGATACCCAGCCGCATGCAGTCTTCTAGTGGCAAGGAACCCTGAGGTGGATGGCAGGCAGCACTCTGACCAGTTCTGAGGACCCAGGTCCCCTTGTTCATCTGTGTGCAGCTGACTTCAGTGATCCTGAAATTTCTCTTCTGACTAAACCAACAGTGTCTGAGCTCAGCCTCATTGCCTGAAACTGAACTGCACTGTGTACCCTTGTCTCAGCCACCATCGTAGACAAGTAGCCTGGACCCACCCAAAGTGGCCTCAGTGGACCATTACACCCTATTTTAGTGATAGATTGTTTAGACTAGATCTTGTGGCTCCAGGGTGTCAGCAGCAGCTTCTGTCCACTGTACCATCAGAAACAACTGTGGCCCTGCCCCATAGCAGCCTGCCATTCAGATCAGTTCCATGCCCTGCCTGTCATCAGGACAAGACCATGTGGTTGTGCCTGCCCTCTGTCCCATCTGCTTTATGAGGTCTGTGTTCTAAGACAGCAAAGTGACTGCTGACCAGAAGGGTAAGTTGGGGGAAAGTTAGCAGAGATTTGGACATAAAACAAAAACAAAAAACTTAATAATAGCTTTAGTCTTTGAGACTCTGCCCTGAAAGAAGGGTCCCCAGTCAGAACTAGAGATGGGTTTGTCAACAGATAAAGAAACCATGAGAAATAAATGATGCAGGTAGTTGTGTTCTCTGGTAGGAATGTTTTACCAAGTGTGGTAGTTAATCTTCATGGTCACCTGACTAGATAGATGTGTCTATGAAGGTGTTGTCAGGGAGAGGTAACAGAAAGAGATAGCTCAGTAGGTAAAGGCTCTTTGCTTCAGAAGCCTGACAGTTTTGAGTTCAATCCTGAAACCCTTGTAAAAGTGGCAGCAGAGAGCCAGCCAACTCCTCAGAATTGTCCTCTGACCCCCACAAGCACACAGCAATAGAGACATGCAGAGCCTTAAGAGACTTAAAAACTGGAGTGTTCATCTGTTTGCATCCCAATTACAAGCTAGCCATGTCACACTACCCACCACCTTGGCCAGTATCCCTTCAAACCAAGAGCCAAGGAAACCCTCAGGTTGCTTTTTTCAGACAGTTGCCACAATAATGAGAAAAGTAACAAATGTATCAGGTTAGCGTCCTCTTTCTAAAAGCTGACATGAGTGTGTCTGGTGTCTCCTGTGGCACTGGCCTAGCCAGGTTTGCTGATGCTCTCTCAGGAAGTGCAAACTGAGGCTGCAGTTGGACCAGGGCTTGTACTGTTGCTCCCTATGGGCAGATTATTCCATGTAGAAGTCTTCCCACACTACGCTCTCCTTATGCAGGCAACCCCAGGAGTATTTACCAGACTTGATTCCCATGGAAAAGAATGGCTTAATCTAATATGGAAATCCAACAAGGGGAAATTGTGAGGAAATGGATATTAGCTGGTGTAGATGTCTCAGGCGACATGTCCTAGGTTAGAGGAGTTGCCCACATACCTCTAGGACTTTGGAAACCTGGGGTGTTATGTGGCAAGGCAGCATCCTGGTCACAGGCTCTAACCCAGTCCTTAAGGATGTATGCAGAGGTTTCAATATACAGAGTCACAATGTCCTCAGTATTGAGGGAAAACCAAAGATAGTGTGTATTCATCCAAACCAAGAGGGCCTCTAGGCAAGGTGAGCCAGTGTCATTCCTCATGAATCCAGGTCAGGGATTAGCAATGTTTTATGTAAAGGGTCAGATTTTGTTCTTGTCTTTGCAGCCATGCAGCTACTCAACCTGTGCCACACATTGCCACAGCCCTTACAGATGGCACAGAATGACTGGGCATGGCTATATGCTAACCAGACTTGACAGGCACTGCCATGGTTTGTGTTGCCAACCTGTTTTGTTGAGACAAGGTCTCACGCTAGCTCAGGCTCTCACTGTGTAGCCTAGACTGGCCTCAAACTCAGTGCTCCTGCCTATGCCTCTGGAATGCTGGAGTGACAAGCGTAAACCATCAAATGAGGTTAAAGTAGATGTAACAGTACTCCCTTGGGATTTGTTTTTACTATCTTTGTGACAGTGTCTTGATATGTAGTTCAGGCTGCTGAGAACTAACTATATAGCTTAGGCTGACCTTGAACTCATCATGAACCTTGAACCTCCTGGTTCAGCCTCCAGAGTTCTGGGATTTACAGGCATGCACCCCACACCTAGTCTCTGACCCATATTCTTAATGTGGAAAATAAGAGTCTGAGCCACAGTGAGCTTACAGATGGTTTCTTTGAGTTTTCCATACGCTTAGTCCTTCAGAGCTAAGGAAAAGCCCACCAAGAATGTTGGGATCCCCGGGTACAGGAACTGGACTGGAAACATAGGTGGCAAGGAATAGAGCTGACTGCGGCCAAGCTGCTCCCCCACCTGGCCACGTAAACTATTTCTAGACTAAGTTACAAATAATTCTTTGTCTTTTCTATATTTTATGATGCATAGGACAGGGACCAGACACAGCATGCCATGTAGAATGCCAAATACTCAGCTCAGGTTGGCCCTGGAAGACACCTGCCGCAGTGCCTGGGTGGCAGAGTCCAGTCTTTCCTCCAGCAGACAGGTGGGTTCACAGTCCTTGTTTTGCTTTTGTGGTCCTGGAGATGGAAACCAGGGTCCAGAATGCTAGACAATGCTCTGCCACTTAGCTATCAACTTGTTTTGTTATAAGTATGTTTTTCCGCCAGCCTGGTCCCACAGCTGCGCCAGCCCCAAATAACATACAGAGACGCTGTGTTAGATATAAAGCTGTAGGTCAGTTACTAGTTTCTTACTGGCTAGCTCTGTCTTCAATATTAACCCATTTTTATTAATCTAAGTATTTCCACGTGGTCTCATCTTACCGGAGAGAGGGCCCAGTGTTCTACTCTCTCCGTCCTCCATCTTGAATCTCCTCCCTACTACTTCCTCTCTCCTCCTAGTCTTCTAGTCCCACCTATCTTGCTTTCCTATTGGCCAACAGTGCTTTATTCATTAACCAATAAAAAACCATATTTACAAAATGACATCTCCCATCATTATTTATATGCTTTTATTTTGTTTTTGAGTAGACTAGGTTAGCCTTAGCCCACAGAGACCCACCTGCCTCTGCCTCTGAGGCACTAGGATTAAAGGCATGCCAAACATAGCCAAAGACCATGCTGAAAGCCAGTCTTGAGCCTCATTCTTGCCTGGATGTTGCAATGTTGGATGTATCACTGAATTCTGTGCCTCTGTTTCCTCTCGTGCAGTGGGGGTGATAGTGCTCAATGCTAAAGAATCAAAATTCAGTGACTTGGTATGTGAAAGTTGAGGTGTAGCAAGGCATGGTAACCCATGCTTTTAATCTCAGCACTCTGGAGGCAGAGACAGGCAGATCTCTGAGTTCCAGGACAGCCTGGTCTACAGAGAGAGTTCCAGGACAGCCAGGGCTACATAGTGAGACCCTGTCTCAAAGAAAGTCTAGGTGTGACACTGGCTTATGCCTGTGGTTTTAATGCACACAAGCTCTTCCTGTGTGTTGGCATGCTTTTACATTGTTTTGTGAGTTTCTTTATTTTTATGTGTTCAGGTGCTTCCCTGAATGTTTTGTCTGCCCCACATACACGTATTATTCTCAGAGGCCAGAAGGAAGTGTTGAATCCACTGGAACTGAAGTTACAGTTAATCACCTTGTAAGTGCTGGGGACCAAATCCTGGTCCTTCTGAAGAGCAGCCAGTTCTCTTAACTGCTGAGCTGTCCCTCCAGCCCCTTGTTGGCATTCTTTTCTTCTTTCCAAATGCAAGTGTGAGAAAAATCACACAACTAAACCAGCAGGAAAGGTCATGATACATCCCCAGCATAAGTGGGAAGGTGTCAGACCTGCTGCTTGTGCTAAGTGCACACATGTGCTACTACTAGGTATCAGTCCACAGCGGGAGCCCTACATCCATCTGCACCCTTCACTTTCTTTGGGTAGCTTGCACTTAGCCCACCCATTTCCTTCTGTTATCTCTCTCCTAGTGAATAAGGGACTGCCCTCTTCTCATTTACCCAGACTATTCTTTGTTTTTTTTCCAGGCTGCCAGTACAGATCTCCCCAGCAAGACGCTCAGAGAAGTCAAGATAGTCAGGTCTACTTCCACCACAGAGCCCTGCAGATGCCCACTGGGGCCATACACTAGGGAGGCTGTCATCACAGAATCTATTGGCAACAGGAAAGCCGTAGGTGGTTAAACTCAGGGAGGCCTTTAGGACACCATGTGGTGACTACAGGGCACTTTCACTTGTGCCTACCCTGCAGTTAAGGTGGCCACATACATTCATGAGTGACCATTAATTCTGGCTCACTGTCAGCCTACTGGAGAATCCCCAGCACCAGCTCTTTACTTCAGTGAGATACTGTGAACAGCCATTTGGATCAGACTAAATGTTCAGAACCTTCTAGATGTCTTGAGACTTGTCCTGGGTCAGTGAAGAGTACTTCATTGATGCATTGGGATTCCAATTACAAAAGCTTACTCAACTTCAGTCAGAAGTTTCCGAGAAGTCCAAAGCAGCTCCACTTGTCAGCCCCTCAGCTGCCATGTAAGGTGAGCTTTGTCCTGTCTGCAGGAAGGGCTCTGACCTTCACAGCTGGTGCTCAGCCTCAATTAGCGCAGACAGCCCTGCCTGGGCCTGACAACAAGCAAATGAACATGAATGAGCTCTGAGCTGCACTAGCATCCATCTTCAGTCCCCTCCCAGCCAAGTGAGAAGTCAAGAGCCACCTCTAGGGAGAGTCAGAAGTAGCCCTGGGCCCAGTAGTCCTTTGTCTTCTCTTGAGGAGATGTGACATCTAGCTGGCATCTTCCAGCTTCAGGGCACACCTGGGTTCCACTCCTCCTTGACCTTGGATCCATCCCAGTTTGGCATCAAGACACTGTGCCAGTGAGTTGGGATACCAAGATGTCCTGAAGAAGAAGGCAGGCCCTAGAAGAAAGGCTATTTACCCTGACTCAAGGGACAGATGCTCTATGGCTTCTAGGGAAGATTTGGGGAAACAGGGTCACCTCTAGTGTGGACACCAGGTACAGTACAGACAAGGAGACTAACCTATGCACCACATGGACCCTTAGGTCAAGAGGCAACTCTCATTGTCATCCTACCCCTTCCAGAACTTTGTGTCTGTGGAGTTGGGTGTTGGCTTTCTCCTGGTTCCCTTTAAAGGAAGGCAAGTAGATTGCCCTCTCCAAACTCAAATCTCCTGGGACTGATGCTTTTACGTGACAGCTCCTAACCAACACCTGGGTGAGGCATTGCCCTGTAGCTGGGCCTGCAGGCTTTGGCTCTGAACCTTCAAGGAGTTCTTGGCACCTGTGAACTGGTAGCCTGTCCACATCTCACCTCAGCCACATCAGCGATCTGCTGGAACCTCATCTTTTTTTGTATCTGGCTGGTGCCTTATACATTCCCTGCAGGGTGTATCCTACCCTCCTGTGTTAAATTGCAGTGAGTGAATTCCTCTTTAAGGGCTGCAGCTATAGCTTGTTGTGTTGTAGCAGATGCTGTCCCTAGTTTGGTGTTTTTGTGTCGTAGTTGTCAACTTACCTTCATGTAAAATATTCTTGGGGCTGTGTCAGTGTTGTGCACATTGCACTAGACTTTCTATTTTGCTGTGCACTTGGTGGCTTCCTTCATATGTGACCCATCTGCTCCATGGACACCTGCACTGATCTCCACATTGCCTTCCAGTTGCTGCCATGGCTTTGTGAGCAGATGCTGCTGCTACTGGATGTCTATTTTCTCATAAAAGTAAATGTGTTTCCAACCTGCTTACTGTGCTCTGTCAGGTTCCCTAATAGTGTGGAGGGATGCCCTCAAAGAAGCCACCAGCTTTCTCCACTGAGGATAGTGAGCTGCAAGATCAGGGTCCCAGCTGGTCACTGCTCAGGAGTGTCTAGGAAGCTCCAGTGACCAAGCTCATGAGAGTATAATATGTAATTCAGAAAAGTTATCACTACTGTACAATGGGGTGAAGGTGGAGACAGCAGCAAGACATCATCCTGCCTTTTGACCCCAGATACTAAGATGCCAAGTTAGGGTTTGGTTGTTCAGTGCCTGTAGTAGGGACCCTGAGGAAAACTTGGGAATTGGCCATTCATTCTCCACTTAAGGCAGCTGTTCTCAACAAGGGGTGATCCTGCAAGAGACACTTAAATTTGGTGGGGTTTTGTTGTTTTGTTTTGTATTTCACATGCATTGGTGTTTTGCTAGCATGTATGCCTGTGTGAAGATGTCAGACCTAGAACTGTAGTTACAGATGGTTGTGAGCTGCCATGTTGGTGCTGGGAATTGATCCCAGGTCCTCTGAAGAGCAGCCAGTGCTATTAACCACTGAGCTATCTCTCCAGCCCTGCAAGAGACAACTAATGGTTCCAGGGGACAGTTTTGTTTGGAGGATCTGATGGGTAGAGAGAGGCAAACCTCATAGTATACAGGTCAACCCCACAACAGCAACAGGGAGTGCTGGAACCATTTTGTTACTCAGGAAGCTAGGGATAAAGCAGGGCTTACAATCAACAGAAACACAAGAGGAACCTTTTTCTTTTCTGATCCATTCTCCTGCAGCCCCCAAACCAATCTTAAAATGAAGTAAAAGGGTCATTTGAGCTTTCAAGATCTAGAGTAGCTGAGATACAATAGTGACCTCCATCTCAAAAACAGGGTGGGGGTGAAGCTGGAGGTTTAGCCTGGTGATGAAATACAAACAACCTACTTGAGACCCTGGTTTCAGGTCCCATCCCTAGAATTTGCAAACAGGAAGGGAGGCTGGAGAGATGGCTCAGTGATTTAAGAGCACCAGTTGCTCTTTGAGAGGACCCATGTTTGATTCTCAGTACCTCTATGGCAGCTTGCAAACATCTGTAACTACAGTTCCAGGAGATCCTTTTCCTGCTCTCCGTAGGCCCACGCAAGTGGTTCACAGACATACAAACAAGCAAAACAGCTATATACATACAACAAAAATTGAAAAATAGATCCCTCCCCTTCAAGACTTTCAGTGCCTCCCAGTACACTTAGAATGAGATCTTAGTTCTGGAATGGCTTTAGAACTGTTATTTGATCTGATCCTTGCCCATCTTGTCCCATTCTCCCCTTGTTTACCAGGTCCAAATGACCTTTGCACACACTACTTCTTTTGAATGTTTTTAACTCTTCCTTTCATCTTTCCCTTTTGTTATCTTGGTCATCAGACTCTTCAGTCTACCACTTGTGGGGTATCCAGCAGAGAAGGCTGAGACATGGGTTTAAGCCAATAAAGTCTTTATTAGCTGGCCAGCACCTACCCTGTGTGTTTGGGATCCCAGTTCAGCACTGAGCCTTTCCAAGGTGAGCTTTTCAGCACAAAAACCATGTCATGAGTCGACATACTCAGTAAACAAGAACAGTTTTAGCCAGAAGCAGAATTACAGAAGCCAAAAAGCAAAGTTAGTATGTTTCCCAGACTTTGATGGATTAGTCTTTGGTTTTGTGTTGTCAAGTGGTGCTGTCTACATGATGAATTTATGACCTGAATGGTGCTTCCATTATGGAATCAGTTATGCTAAGGTTTGGAGGCCTACTAGGATCTAGGTACCTGTTACATTCTCCACTGGTCTTAGTGAATGAGTCAAATTGTGGACTCATCCCACTCTAAAGAGGTATAGTTGGTCCTAAAGACCATTAATTTTACCAAATTGTTAGCTGGGCATTTGGTGGCACAAGCCTTTAATCCCAGCACTCGGGAGGCAGAGGCAGGCGGATCTCTGAGTTCTAGACCAGCTTGGTCTACAAGAGCTAGTTCCAGGACAGCCTCCAAAGCCACAGCGAAACCCTGTCTCCAAAAAAAAAAATTTACCAAATTGTTACATAATTGGCCAAATTAGGTGCAGGGGCCCACCTTTAAAATCCAATCAGAATGAATTAAAGGCCCAGGCAGTGCTGATAGTGTGAAGGCTAAAGAAACACCATTTTGTGCTAATATCCATCTTGGTACCCACTACCTGTTAGTCTCTGACTCCAGTCCCTGGAGGATAAGTTCCCTATAACTCATAACGCCCACCCGGAAATGCACAGCTGTGACCATCTCCTTTATGCTATGACTGTTAGTTACTGTGGCCTGTTTATGCAGACATTCAAGGACTATTTTGAGTTCTCCCTGGCTACCTTGGAAGATACTCAAGATCTTATGGGTTTTGCCTTTAAAAATCCTTCCCTTGGCCCCTTCACACAGCAGTCTCTAGTTTGGCTCAGAGGTTGCTGTCCTGCTAGCAGGTTCAATAAATGGAACTAATTATACTCTGGACTCAGTCTATGGTCTTTTCCTGGGGGTCTCGAACTGCATAACATTTGGGAACTCATCCAGGATTCCTGGAAGACCCCAGACTCACGGATGGAGTTCTTGGGGCAGTCCCTAAGTGGGGGCAAGTCCAAGGTGGACTTGGAAGTCCAAGAGAGCCTAACAGCATGGCTGCCACAGGACCTACAGGGACAAGAATCACAACTGAGAGAGCCTAGGGATGAACAGGTCCAAGATGGGGGTAAGCACATTGTGGATCAGGAAGCCCATGGGACCCCCCCCCCCACTGTGACTACTGCAAATTTGCAAATTCCCAGCACTCTGGAAGCAGAGGGAGATAGATCTTTGTGAGTTTGAGGCCAGCCTGGTCTACAGAATGAGTTACAGAACAGCAAGGGCTACACAGAGAAACCCTGTCTCTAAATAAGTAAATAAACAAAGTAAAGTAAAAGTAAAACTTGCTGGCCAATTTACATTCGAAACCCAAACAAATTAGTGTGTTATTCTGTTCTGGAAGTCCCCACATCTGGGGAGACAGGAAATCAGATGTGATTATAGACCAACCCAGTCTCCATGGACAGAGTTTGAGACGTCCTTCTGTCCTCTTGTCCCACTGATTCTGGTGAGTGAAAATGGCCACCACATGTCTGTGTTTGTCTGGTCTCTGTGACATTCTTGTTTTCTTTTGTCTCATGGATTTATGTTTTCTGATGTGCTCCTGGGATTTGTTTCAGACATAGGAGCCGGACCAAGCATAGGGAAGGCCCCTATGGGTTGTATGCTGCATCTTTTTTACATGATTTCCACAAGACTGCTACCACACCATGCTGCTGCCGCCACCGCCGCCACCACTACTGGTTTGTTCTGTCTCTGTCCCTCTTATTGGTTCAGTGAATCCTGTGGGTTTCTCACAGATTGTTATCCCTGAGCTTTGTTTTCTGTTTGCTCTGGACAGTGGATTCTGGTGTGTGTTTGGACTTTGTCGGGCCACCGGCTCCCCAATAATGCCATGGAGACTTATTAATTATGAAAGCTTACTCTTTAGTGTAGACTTGTTCCCAATTAGGTCTTATAACTTAAATTAACCTGTTTCTATTAATCTACATTCTGCCACGTGGCTTTGTTACCTCTCTTCCACTCTGTATGTCCGACTCTCTCCATGTCTAGATGTCATCTCTCCTGCATCTAGATTTTTCCTAAGTTCCTCTCTTCCTCAGAAGTCTGGCCTATTCTCTCCTGCCTAGCGTGCCTAGCCATTCAGCTTTGTTAATCCAATAGCAATACACATCTTCACACAGTGTAAACAAATACCTGGAACACAGGTGTCTTGGAAATGGATAATATTGAAATATTGTTTTATGCTGCTCTACTTTATTAAAAAGCTGGCTCTGGAGTTGGGTTATGGCCCTCCTTGCTTGACCCAAGCATACCTATTTATAGGTTTTCTACAAAATCTCTGTCTTGGGGCAGACAGGTCTTCTGCCTCTGACAAGGAAAGGAAAAACAAACAGCCCAAGAGAAGACACTTGGCGTTTAAAACAGCTAAAGAGTGACTATTCCAATAGAAATTACTGCTGCTTACCTCACACTCCTTAACCCTCTCAAACTTTTGCTAAAATATAAATTTATAAGACTATAAAATATACGATTTGTAAGACTATAAACTTTCTGTGCTTTAAGATTTGTAAGCTTATTGGATATGGTTAAAAATATGTAAAGAAAACAAAAACAACCTGATGCCATCATTTTCTGAGTTCCCATAGATGTCTTGTTTTTAGTTTTCTGTTAAAAGGCTTCTAGGTTACAGATACTTAAATTATTCTGTAACCTGATGACTTTATAAAAAGATACTTATGAAGACTTTCAGGTTGTCTGCCTCCAATTGCAGACACACACAAACTGGTTACAAAGTAAAATCAAGCCCTCTGTCTAAAAATCTCTCACTAGTAACTCCACAGATGCCTTCTTCAAATCAGAGCTGGGCTTGTTAAAAGTTAGTATTAAAGGTGTGGTTGTTGGTGCAAGCCTTTAATCCCAGCACTCTGGAAGCAGAGGCAGGTGGATCTCTGTGAGTTTGAGATCTTATTATAGTAAGAAGCTAGCCTACCCTACAGAGGGAGTTCCAAGACTGGACCTTCACCTGAGCATCCAATTGTATGCAAACAGGCCCAAGTTGCATGAGGCCTCTAAGTTTTCTGGGAAACTATATATAGGCTAAAAACTAAGATTAAGGATGGGGCCCACCTATTCAGCAATGGAAAACCTGCAAGAGCGCACAGACCACCAAGGTCTAGTAAACCAGAAACAAGCTTTATACCAGGAAAAAAAAGAAAAAGAAAATCTTGGAGGGGCACAAAAACTTATCAGCTATGGCTGTGGACACAGCCAGAGTTTGGGCTTCTGAAACAGGCAAATTGGGCAGTTTCCAAACTGCAAGCATTAGTCTTGAACAAAAGAATTTTTACAATCTTGAGGTAACACTCGGTTGCAAATTGCTTTTTACAATTTCCCTTAACAGGATTTTTCAGTTTAACTAGTGTTTGTGACTAGTCCATTGTTTCTCTCTGGGAAGAGTGTGGAACAATGCACACTTAAAAGTTAACTCAGCTCATGTTAGTTTGTCAATTGTGGGTCTGTGGGGGTGGGGGTATCTAAAGCTGACTCTCAGTTTACAGAGAGACCCTTAGTTGGCAGACATTTTAGCCTTGCAGACAGAGCTATCAGTAAGTGTAAAGCAAAGGAATCCATTGTGATAATCTTTAAGCTGCTGAGAAGGCTGCTGACAGTCTGTTCTCATTCTCTTAATCTATTCTTATATTCTTACATTCCTATTTCTGGAACCTACATTTCAATATCCTTATTCTCAGACTTTCCACAATAAACGGTATATTTATTTGTTACTATTAGATCTCATTTAATTTTTTTATTTAAGGGTCTGGAACAATTGCTCAGTGGTTAAGAGTGCCAGGAGCTCTTCTGGAGGACCTGGTTTCAAATCCTAGCACCTACATAGCAGCTCACAACTGTTGGTGCTCCTGTTCCAGGGGATCTGAAGCCCTCATACAGACAGGCAAAACACCAATGTACGCAAAAAAATATAAGTAAAAATGTTTTATTTAAATTTTTAATCAAAAAGATTTATATAAAAATTAAGATGTCTGGCTCTGACGTTTCCCCCTTTCCTTGGTTCTTTTGTTGTTGTTTTTATTTCTTGTGCACATTTGTCTATGTGAAGGTGTTGGATCCCCTAGAGCTAGAGTTACAGACAGCTGTTAGCTGCCAAATGGGTGCTGGGAATTGAACCCAGATCCTTAGCAGCCAGTGCTCTCAACCACTGAGCCATCTCTCCAGCCTCATTTTTCTTTGTTCTAGTTAACAAAAAATTGTGCCTCCATTCAAGGTCATAGATAATTCATTCAGAGCTCTTGATAAAATGTAAGACCATTGGGAACAGGTAGTGTGCTATAAAATTCCGACCCCCCCCCCCCAAATAGCTTATTGATTAAGATTTCCTAAGATTTCCAAATTCCTAAGGTCTACTCAGGTTAACAGAAACTGACTTAGAGATGTATGCCAAATCACTTACATCTTTGCTCATTGTGTTCAACATTGGGTCTTGGGGGCACACAAAAAATGAGGAACAGACCACTAAAGTCTAGGAACCAAAAGCAAATTTTATTCTGATCACTATAGAGCACAAAAAATTTTGCAGCTTGCTGAGGCCACAGGTCAGATTTGGTCTTCTGACACTGTGACAATAGAAGCTGAGTTTGGGCCTCTTCTTATAGTAAAAATCATGTACCAGGTGTAGGGCAAAGAGCTTTTGCAGCCTTGAGGTCAGGCTTAAAGTCATGTTACAGTGTAAGGTTCACAACTTTTGGTTATAGGATGCTAACTTAGGATGTTTGTGAAAGTTTGTGATTGACACAGCTGCTTTTCCATATCCCTGAAAGAATGCAAGGAAGAGAGTAGAGGCCTGTAGAAGGACTGTTAAAAGTCAAGGGAATACAACTTAGGGAGTCCCACAAAGGCAATAGAAGCTAACCTTTACCCACCATAACTGTCTAGCTAGAAGCTGCCCAGATGGGAGGCAGGAAGCAATTGTTAAACGTTTTTCCCTCTGTACACTGTAGCTTACCACAATGTCTGCTCTTCAGTTTCCCCAAAATGTGTTTAGGCTTACAATTTTATATTCTGGGCCCTTCATTCAACATCAGGCTTCTAAGAAGTTTTAGTTTAAAAAAAGTTTGATAAATAAGATTTATAAATGCCTTAGGCCTATTCGGGCTAAGAGAAACTGACTTAAAGATATAGGTCCAGTCTTTTTGTCTTTGCTGACTTTGTTAAGCTGTAGCTGTTTGGATAAACTAAGGCATACAAAAGTAAGGCTCTTCTTTGTGGAGGTGAGGACCTAGGCCTCACATGGCTGCATTTATGGTTTTGTAAGGTTCCCAGTTCCTCTATGGACTGTATTTATAGTTTAAGGTTTTGTTTTACTGCTAGAGGATTTTCAATTAAATCCTCAATTCAAAATTTTAAGGCTAAAACTTAACAGGAATAAAACTATAAAATCCTAATCTCGTAAAAGTTGCTAATTTGTTGTAAGCTGTTAAAGATAATTAAGATATGCAAACTACTGGTCAGTCATCTTATAAATGATCACATTCTTTAATGTGCTCAGAACTATGTTTATAGTCATGCTAAGTCATTTCATTTACAAAATGATAAGCTTTAGCTTAATGTATATGTTTTCAAGGTTAAGCCTGAAGCAAGTAACTAAAACAAGTAATGGTTAGAGAGTTCTGCCTACTGCTGGTCTCTGAGCCAGAGAAGTTAGGGAGATCTTGTAAACATAATCACATAGAGGGTATATTCCTCTCTATTTGGGGTGCAATGGGCCAGAAGCACTGGGTTTTGTGGGTTTGTTTTGTTTTTAATGTCCTGTTTGTTTGTTTATTTGTTTTTACCTGCCCAGAATTCTAAGGTCTGTAAACACAAT